ACTACAAATTACAGATCAAGTTTGAATTTTGATGGTGTCACTTTACCTGTTCTAGAGTTATGCCCTTTAATTTTACAAAAGGAAAAAATGTTGAGTTTTTTGTTTCTATTCTCAAACTTAAGTTTGCCTCAACCAAATGTTATGAAACTTATACACATTACTTATTACTACAAATTTGGCGTCACTTTTACCGTTCTTCAGTTATGTCCCTTTATAACTTTATATGATATGCAAGCGGGGGCATCATCTGTGGTCACTATCCACATTTATTTTCCACTGTGTGACACGACCTTGTCATTTTTGTATTGCCCCTTAACATCTTCTGCCTCTGTTTTTCGCTACTTTGGTCATTATTAAGATTTAAAAAAAAACCTTAACCACTATACTTATGGCTTGTATTATTAGGACAGCGTCTCATTCCCTGAATTTGTTATGCAGGAATTCACTTAATATCAGTCTATATATGCAAATAAGGGAGCTACCATTTGATTTTTATGGGGGGCTAGGATGAAAAATTTTGTCCTGCATTTTTTTTAGTTGTTATCTCTGTCCTGCCTTTTTATTTTTCACTCTATTCGGACCTGCCTTTTTTTATTAGTTTATCCTGACTTTTTTTACATAAATTATCATCCTGCCTTTTTATTTACTCAAAACTCATGTCCTGCCTTTTTTTTCAAATTTCATCCTTTTCAATGTATTTTTCAAAACATGAGAGGTGATCTAGTGATCACAGAATGAGGATATGTAAAACTGAAACAACACAACAGAAAAGTACTAACTAGCATCATTGTAAAAGGACTGATACATAAACATAGACTAGTGTACCAGTAGGGTGAACATTTCTTGCTTCTTCTTTAATATCTTTTGTCATTTCATGTAAAGTCAATTAAATATGTTACTTTCAATATACATGTAGACTGGTAGGACTTTGTGATTTGAGATATTTTGCTTTTAGTATCGTCAAGTTTCATATCCATAGGGGTGTTGTGTCATGAATTAATATAAAATTTTCTTTTTTTACATTTATATGCTACAAAGGTAGCATTATCTGTTTTCATAATGTACAAAGATATGATAGAGTGGTGTTCCAATGATAGTCATACATGTACATCATTGTCTCATTGGCAATCACACTACATCATCATATTGTAATACATGTATTGGGGTATGTATACTTTGTAAACTTTTTGTAAAGACAAATGAAGTTGCAAATGAAGTTGAACACAAGATATTTATTTGCATTTCTTTCCATATGGTCTCTGCACAACTGCCACTGTACCCCTTCTGCTTCAAATACAAAAGATTGGAAGAAGAGTCTTGTATTTGTTTTAGCTCAATGATACTACCATCACTTGCACAAAAAGACCAGACATCAAGTTTGGCAAATGAACTACTATAATATGGTATTTATATGTGAATATGTCTCTGACTTCAATAACAACTACCAAAATGAATGCATTTAGCTGTGCAGACCGACTGAGCCAGCATTTAATATATACAATGGCAACCAAGAAGCACAAAATGCCTGTATCTCTATAAATGTATGTATATATCAGTCTTTAACGTAACCTCGACGCCCAGGAAAAACCACAAAAACTTTACTAAAGAAAATTGATATGGAAACCTGTATTACGGGTCAAGTGCAAGGCACGGTTTGGGACATTGATGCTGAACCTCAACAAATATCAAAAAATTTTATAACATTGAAGTTTAGTGTTGAACGTTTTTTGGTTATTCTTGGTCTTTCACCTCAAAGGATTTCAGGAAGATTCACATGAATAAATCTGTTGGATATTGTCTGTGACGCAAATAACTTCAGCTGCATCTGCAAGAGAAACAAAAAATTATGAATTTGTGCTCTGATGGAGAACATTGACGTCATTGAAAAGCAGGCCCTTCTACTAGCTCACAGTATAATTAATTTAATGTTTAGCTATTGTATGAACTGGCAGATATCTATATGCTACTCATACTCATATGCTACAACTAAATCTAGTCATATTTTTCCAATTACTACAAAGAAATTCAGATAAATATATACATATCCAAATTGACAATCAGAAACTGTACTGTCCTTTACTGAAAATATTATAAACAGTTTCAGTTATTATTTATCAAGGAATCATTGTATAATTTTCAATATACAGGCTATGTCACAATGGCGGATCCAGAAATTTTCATAAGAGGGGGCCCACTGACTGCCTAAGAGGGGGCTCGCTCCAGTCATGCTTCAGTGATTCCCTACATAATCAACAGAATTTTTGTCTAATGTACAATTACTTCAAAGTTTGACTAAGTTATTGATGTTTAGAAACTTTTTGACCACAAAATCTGAACTTTAATTTTGACACCTATAACAACCTAATGTATGATTATCCCTGGCTTTTTGCGACTTAATGTCACAGGCTTGACAAAATTCAAGGGCGATTACATAATCTTTAGTCACCAAGTTTATAAATCTATGCAATGATCTGCAATGGTTCTTACCTAAAAAGTCAGCTCCGATGTCCATTCTAAACATCAATCCATACTGACGAGCAGTAGTTAATGCTAGCCTGAAAATAAAATGCTTAGTCAATCAAAATAGTTCAAAACAGAGGCTCCAAAGAGCCAGTGTCACTCACCTGCATCTTCAAAAATAACCACTTCTTGGGTATAATCATCACCAGAGGGCAATAACTCTTATAAAGAGTTAACTGACAATTTCAGTCATGTTGACATATTTGTAGATTTTGTCCTGCTGATCATGTTTGCTTTTTATAGGACCGCAAAAAAAATTTGTGTTCGTATATTGGTATGACGTTGGCGTCGTCGTCGTCTTCTGAAGACACATTGGTTTTAGCACTCTAACTTTAGTTTAAGTGAATGGATCTCTATGAAATTTTACCATAAGGTTCAATACTACAAAAGAAAGGTTGGGATTGATTTTGGGGGTTATGGTACCAACAGTTAAGGAATTAGGGGCCAAAAAGGGGCCAAATTTAAGCATTTTTGTAACTTCCAGACATAACTTGTGTGTTAGAGTATGTATCTCTCTGACATTGTATCACAAGGTTCCATATCACAAAGGGAATGCTGGGATTGATTTTGGGGGTAATTGCCTCAAAATTTTAGGAATTAGGGGCCAAAAAAGGTGCAAAAAACAAGCATTTTTCTAGTTTCATGAAAATAACTTGTGTGAAGGTGTATGGATCTTTCTGAAATTGTACTACAAGGTTCCAAATCACAAAGGGAAAGCTTGGTTTGAGTTTGGGGGTAATTGTCCTAAACATTTAGGAATTTGGGGCCAAAAAACAAGCATTTTTCTAGTTTCCAGACAATAACTTGTGTAAGGATCTCTCTGAAATTGTACTGCAAGGTACCATACCACAAAGGGAAGGCTAGGATTGAGTTTGGGGGTGATGAATCATAAGGAGGTTCAAAAAATTGGGGAGATGATTTTTTTTCCCTTTTTTTTTTTTTAAATTTTCCATTTTAAATTGATTATTTCTGATTTATATGTAAAAGCAAATAATAATGATATGGTTTGAATAGGTGAATTAAGAAAATTTAAGTTCTTAGACCACATTCATTCTGTGTCAGAAACCTATGTTGTGTCAAAAATTTAATCACAATCCAAATTCAGTACTGTATCAAGCTTGAATGTTGTGTCCATACTTGCCCCTACTGTTCAGGGTTCGACCTCTGCGGTCATATCAAGCTGAGCCCAGCCGAGCATTTTATTAAAGTTTCTATCTATATTTGTATATGTTTATAACAGACTGTTACTCTGCCTACCCATTGAATTTAGGTGTCAATCTTAATAACAATGTCTGAGCAAACAACCAAACAAAGTTTGCAAGCATGGCATATGAACTCTTGATTTGCATGCTATATTATTTCAACTCTAATAGGTGTTTCTCTGAATTTTACAAGTTGGTATAATATCAATAAAATTATATGATGGTTCACTCGGCATTAAAAGCCACAATGAATCTAAAATTAAAACTATATGATGGTTCACTCTGCATTAAAAGCCACAATAAATCCATGATTTAAATATATGTTAAAAGTTTAAAATTTGTATCCCCCTTTTTTTTACTAGTATGACACATAATGTACAACTAAAATGTACAATTTGTTTCAGAATTTTTTTGTTTACTGGAGCACATGTATATGTGAAACACCTGCAATTAAGCTGTGAAAGCAATTAATTAAGGGTTTGTATATTGAGACTTTCAAAAAGGGTAGGTACATGTTACTAAACATGCTATAGAAAAACAATAAGCACACATGTTTTCTATATTGACCTATTGAAATAAAATGAAAAAAATATGAGTAACATGCATATACTAGTAATGGCAAAAAAGTTGTAAACAGTCCTGTTTAAACTAACTAAATTTTAGATATTTAATGTGGCTCTTTATTCCAGGCTTGTGACTGGCAAGTTGTACTGTATTCATAATAATAAGCACCTTGGTTTTATTTAGAAATTAAAAATGGGGTATCTTTTATCAATGAAAATGATAATAGATGTAAATATTGGTCTGCTCTAGATGATGATTGTTAAGATAATTTTTAAAATAGAATTCCTGCATAATGAGGTTATTATTATTTAATCACAAAATTTGTAGGCAAATCTAAGAATACTATCACTATTGTGGGTGTTATGGTGCATGAAAATTGGTGAATACAGTATTACTTGGCTGCATTACCCACCTCCCTCCTCAATTTTTTTTCTTTTTCTTTCATTTTTTTAAATTTTCTTTTCTTTTTTTTTAATTTTCTTTTCTTTTCTTTTTTTTTTAATTTTCTTTCTTTCTTTTCTTTTCTTTATTTTTCTTTCTTTTCTTTTCTTTATTTCTCTTTCTTTTCTTTTCTTTTTTTTTTAATATCTTTTCTTTTTTTTTTTTTTTTTTCTTTTCATTTTTTTTTCCTTTTTTTTTCTTTCCTTTTTTCTATTCATTACATGTATGTACACAAGTTTCAAGCACATGCATTATTTTTTTTCTTATATAAATATATATATATATACATGTATGTACAGTCTTCTTAAACTTGTAGAAGATTTTGAACAATTGTTTTTAGAATCGGAACTCAGTACTGATGCCCCAACGTTCCAGTAGTTGTTTTGTTTGTTGATGCAGTGCATTTTTTGTCTTCATTTGGTTGTATTTTCCAAGCATTTTAAATCCAACAATCATCTTGGCTCTCTCATACTGTTCAGTAAAACATTTTCTGTTGCAAGTCTTCAGTATATTGTAAAACTTTTAACTTCTTCACTGGTTCCTAGAATTGTATCAACCAGTGTTGTTATTTTGTCTGGAAAAAAGGATTATTGATTTATAACATTAAAGAAGACTAATGATAAGACTAATGATTTGTAGATCAAACAGAGGTTGTTTTTTATATATTTTATTGTTTAATGTTGATCATCTGGATATGGAATCATTTATATTGGGATATTTTGACCAAAAGGCTAGTTTAGCTAGTGCATTCTCAGGAATTCTAGACAGTTTGGTACCCAGACAAATCGGCATCCAGACAAATCGGCACCGAGAAAGACACTTTGGCACCCAGACAAATCGGCACCTAGGCACCTAGACAAATCGGCATCTAACATAGACAAATCGGCACCTTATAAAGATAAAATCAATTATTTTATCCTTGATCAAAATATAGTGAACCAAACATTAAAGTTACCTGGCACTGATATATGTATGTGGGTATGAACTCAATTTACAAGTTTAGTGTTAATATAGCGATTATGTTTGACTGTTTTTACAAATTACCAATTTAATTCCTGCACTATTTATGACATTATTGTCAATATTGTATATGGTATCTTCGAAGAAGTATCTTATTCTTTTTGTTTTTTTTTTATTTGTGAAGACTGTATTGCAGCTTAGTCATTTGGATAGCTGTCTTGTCAACTTATTCGTAGATCTAATTTTGTTGAACATTTTTGTCACTTAAAGTTTCCCTTCATCTATTATACTTCTCTTAAAAAAAACTTGAAAATTTAATTTAAAAAAAAAATGCCTTTCAAGCCAATAACTCCTATAAGGGATAAATTTACAATTTCGGTCAGTTAACTTAGTTAACTTAGTTGTAGATCTCAACTTGTTGGCCATTTTTGCTGTTCAAAATTTCTCTTTATCAGCATTTAAGATAATAATAAAAAAAAAACCAAAAAAAAACCAGATATTTCGTAAAATTTATAATTCCAGATGCAATAACTGCAAATAGGGTTGTCCAATTGGTTTGAAAAATTACGTGGCAGATAAATCTTAACATGCTTATCATTTTTATCCTTATAAAAATAAGGAGATGAGGTATGATTGCCAATGAGACAACTATCCACCAAAGTTCAAATGAAGTGGATGTAAGCAATTATAGGCAACCGTACGGCCTTCAACAATGTAAATGTAAGCAGCCATGCTCAGTTAATTGTAGATATTAAATCAGATATTTCTTGTAGGGAGAATGTAGCAATTCACTCTTTCATGGTGCCATCAGTTGTATTTTGGAAGGCAACATTTTTTTTAAATTTTAGCAACTTTTATTTAAAACGGCCTCTATTACATAACGGAGATTGCAGTAGTTTCTAACTGAAGTCATAAAAAAATCGGTCTTCACACGCTCTTATTTTTTAAGATTATAATCCCAACTAGTGTTAATCCCGAATAACCGTAAAAATTTAGGCCCAATCCTAAATTCCCGGTATGATAATAGAACCTATATACAGTATTTATTGTTTACATGATTTCGTTCAAATAATGCATGAAATATTTGGCACTGGATGTTATTTCTCTTGTTCGTGTGTCTTTAGTGATGCTCGAAACTTAAAATTTATTAGAAACCCGGAAAACCAGTTTTTGATTTGAAGAGCTTTTAAAATATCAGAACTGTTGAAAAAAAGGGAAGTCAATTCTGCTGAAAGCCCGCCTTCGGATTAATATAAAAGGCATCATCGGAGTTTATTAGCAACACATAATTTACAATAAGCAAATTCAGTCAAAAGTTAATTCATATGTTACATATTAAATTTGCAATTATGATAATCATTAACAACCGGCATTGAACAAACTAATGCTAATAAATTACTACCTCATCAACTGTTTCCCCATCATAGAATTGCCGTAAACGTTATTGATTTTATTTAGGGCATACATGTTTGGGGGAATCGGACACGTTTGGGAGTGTTACATATGTTTCTGGGTTTTTACTCATTATGGCTTGCACACGCTTTTATGTTTATGGGTTTTAATATTTAAACAATAAAATATAGTTTTCAGGTATTGTGTTGTCTTTACAGATGTAAGGACCAAAGGAGAACACAAGCTGAAACACAAGCTATACACTTTTGATCTCTCATTTGTCTCTATTGAGAAATTATCAGATTTACACATAAAATACTGATTAATGCATAACTACAATTAATTATGATTTAATTAAATGATGTTTATTCAAAAACCGTCATATCTAACAATCAATTATGATTTAATTAAATGATGATTTACTTTTCATACACAATCATTTAGGATTTAATTAAATGATGATTTCAAATTTTGTTATTGCATATTTTATCAAGGGATTATAGACAGACAGACAGACAGAATATTTTATTATAGTGTCACATACCAATACAGAACAATATCATACATCATAATATAAGTATAGAAATACAAATAAAAATTTCAATCGAAGTTAAAATATCGGTATCCAGCCACAACTGACTTATGAGACACTTTTGCTTAAAGACTTATTCTAACATTCATTAAAAATGAATAAATAAAACTTTTACAATAAAAGAACATATTATACACAATATTTTCTGCGATTAAACATAAAATATAAAGATTTTGCTAAAAAGGGTTGTATACAGTCATGTGACATCAGAAAAATAAATTTGTCATCATGATTAAAATCGTTAAAATTTGGGTTAATTGCACTTGCTTTCAAAAATAGACCATATCGCAGATCTGAATAAAATTCACAATGCATTAAAAAATGTTTTTGTCTTCTACACAATCAACTGTACAATATTTACATTTTCGGTCATTAAGAAGAGGGACGAAAGATACCAGCGGGACAGTCAAACTCATAGATCGAAAACAAACTGACAATGTCATGGCCAAAAATAAAAGAGTTTTTGGCTTGGTGTAACGACCTGTTTCTATTGCTAAAGGTAGACACCCACTTCTAAAATTAGATAAAATACGTCTATGTTGTCTATCATTTACATTTTTTATATATGAACTTGTTTCTAATTCATTTTTATACAGTCTGTAGGTACGTAACTTGTTACCATTTGGTTCATTTCTATCTTGATACAATTTTTCGACCCATTCTTGTTTTTCAATTTCATACAATTTTGTTTTTAATATCATAAATTTTATGTCTGTTGGAATAATGACTATCAATAATATCATGTATACCAAGTTTATGTGCTATTTCATAACATTTCTTGTCCCACGATCGAGAAATATTCATACCCCACATATGGACCTTGTGTGTTATTCTATAGTCATACGTATATCGCACTCTCAAAAATAGACGGTACGTTTCTAAAATTTCGGCTGATTTTGTTGTTTTATAACCCATATCACCTAAAACCGCTATATTCGAAGCATTTGATGAACTTCCCATAAAGAGTCTGCATGCCTTGTTCTGAATTGTTTGAACTTCTCTCCAGTTGTTGTGTCCCCATAATCCGGCTCCATGTAATAGCACGGGTTCAATAAGAGTTTTATAAAGTTTTGTATAAACATCAAATGACATCCCTCCACATGATAAAAATTTAGTGTATACTGCAGAAAGCGCACGGCTTGCAGATTTTGTTATCTCTCGGATCGTATATTTGTGTTCCATGAATTCGTTTATATGTAATCCTAAATATCTGTACGCATTGTCAAAGCTAATAGGCATATCACCACATTTAAAATTTAAGTCTGATCTCGGAGCCTTTTTGTTACGAAAATGTATAATTTTGGTCTTGGTCTCATTTAAAGTCATTCTCCATTTCATACACCAAGAATTAATACAGTTTAACATACTTTGAAGACGCTTTTCGTCTGGTGCAATAAGTGCAATATCATCAGCATATAGCAAAATTGAAACATTCAAATCATCAATGTCAACACCAGCATTTAGAGCACGTATGTCTTCAGCTAGGTCATTCACATAAATAGAAAATAATGAAGGCGACATTTTACAGCCTTGTTTTACACCAAAATTAACTGGAAAAATATCAGTCAAATGATGTCCTAGCTTCACTGTGCTTTTAGTAGCATCATATAAGGATTGTATAGCCTTTAGAAATAACCCATTTATGCCTATACTCATTAATTTATGCCACAACATATCACGGTTTACATTGTCAAGATTATAATGGTAACAATTCTTTTATTTTTCCTAATATATATATTTAAAAATGAGGTGCCGATCCGAACTGTCCAAAATGGATGCCGAAATGTCTTCGGACTTGGGTGCCGATTTGTCTGGGTGCCGAAATGTCTTGTTACCCATTCTCAGATAGTAGCCTGGGCCTGTATGCATAATTTATAAAGCTACTTACCGTTAAGTTAAGATTTATTCTGAATGAACAGACTTTTCTACATGTCCTACAATAAATTAGTACTACGATTGGATTTCTTAACTTAAGTGGTTTATGCATACAGGCCCTTGAGACTCACTACCAATTTGACAAAAAAATGTTTTGGAGTAATGCTTCATTCCAAACCAAATTCACATGCAGCTGTGCATATATTTGTGTACATGTACTTTAATATAGGGCACACATGGGCACTCGACTAGGATGTAATTGGGCTTGCATGTATTTTCTTGCAATCTCTTGAAAAATCATACATAAACATTTAGAATTAGTAGAAATTAGTGCTTTTAAATTGTGGTTAAAAGTACCCCCATCTTTCCTTACAATACATAACACATTAATGGAACAGTAATTTTGCACACTGCTGAAGCATGTTTTGTTTGAAAACTAAAAACAGATATACCGGTATATCTACCTGTTTATGGATTCAGTTTCTTCATGTTCCTGACAATCTTTCAAGCCAAAAGGATCCCAAATCTTCATCTGCATAATAAAAATAAACTTAAGTCAAAATTAAAATATATGTGTGTTTCCAGTTCCATTCTCAAAAAAATTCGTAAGGGTTCCGCGGAACCCAGTGTCTCGCCTACTTTTGCTGTTAATCGCAGGCTCAACAAAAATGAGGAAAAAAATTAATAAAAATATTCCTCTCTATACTATCTTTTGATTGTAAGTAGCTTCTGTCCAAGTTTGGTAAAAATCCAGGATAGTTTATGAATCTAATAAATGTTTTAAAAACTTAAACTGCAGACTGTATGTAATGTTAACTGGAAGAAAAACTAAGTCCATTTATAAGTAAAATACGGAAAAAATGGAATTTTTTTTTTACAAAATTTACTTCTGGATACTATGTTATGATCATATACAAGCTTCTTTCCTAGTTTGGTAGAAATCCAGGATAGTTTAAGAAAGTAATTAAAATTTCAAAAACTTTAACCACAGAGTGAATATAATGTTTCCTGGCAGAAAAACTGAGTCCATTTATAAGTAAAATACGGAAAAAATGGAATTTTTTTTTTACAAAATTTACTTTTGAATATTATCTTATGATCATAAACAAGCTTCTGTCCAAGTTTGGTAGAAATCCAGGATAGTTTAAGAAAGTTATTAAAATCTCAAAAACTTTTAACCACAGAGTGAATATTTGTGGACGACGACGACGATGCTGACGGAATGTAGGATCGCTATGTCTCGCTTTTTCGACAAAAGTCGAAGGCTCAACAAAAAAATAGGGTCGGTGTGTTCACGGAGTCCTATTCTGGTATTATACACGCCCCAACCGCAAGTTTGCCATTTTCTATGTGTTTGGTTGTAAAATAACAGACATGTTAAGTTTTTAGTTAATTTTGTTGCATTCTGTAAAGAATTTGTTGCATTTTTAGCCGTAGTGGATACTTTTATTGGAAATTCAAATGACAGAAGTCTGTGAATTTAATTATTGAAATTCACATTCCATAAAATCGGATCATTCAAATTTTTTTTTACAGAATTAAAAAAAAAAGTTCTAGGGTGGGTTTTGGTAACTGGAACCACATATATATTTTTATTTTGCCTGAATTCAAACGGCAATCATGGCAATAGGTCATATTTTAATTGAGGTAGGTTTTGAAAATTAGTATCAAAATTTGTAAGGGTTCCGCAGAACCCAGTGTCTCGCCTACTTTTGCTGTTAATCGCAGGCTCAACAAAAATGAGGAAAAAAATTAATAAAAATATTCCTCTCTATACTATCTTTTGATTGTAAGTAGCTTCTGTCCAAGTTTGGTAAAAATCCAGGATAGTTTATGAATCTAATAAATGTTTTAAAAACTTTAAACTGCAGACTGTATGTAATGTTAACTGGAAGAAAAACTAAGTCTATTTATAAGTAAAAGACGGAAAAAATGGAACAAAATTTTAACAAAATTTCCTTCTAGATACTAGCTTTTAATCATAAACAAGCTTCTGTCCAAATTTGGTACAAATCCAGGATAGTTTTAGAAAGTTGTTAAAATTTCGAAAGCTTTAACCACAGAGTGAATGTAATGTTTCCTGGCAGAAAAACTAAGTCCAACTATAAGTAAAATACGGAAAAAATGGATTTTTTTTTTTTACAAAATTTACTTTTGAATATTATCTTATGATCATAAATAAGCTTCTGTCCAAGTTTGGTAGAAATCCAGGATAGTTTAAGAAAGTTATTAAAATTTAAAAAAACTTTAACCACAGAGTGAATATTTGTGGACGACGGAATGTAGGATCGCTATGTCTCACTTTTTCGACAAAAGTCGAAGGCTCGACAAAAATGAAGGCAATAGTATGTGATTTAAAAAGAATTTTAGTTTCTGTTTGTTGTTAACATATAGGTCAATTTTTATGCCAGCACTGAAGCTGAGGGGGCATCAAGTGTTACCCTTGTCTGTCTGTATGTGCATCCCAAAAGTGGTTACCGTTTTTATACGCCCGTCAATTTTTGACGGGACGTATTATGGTATACAAATGTCCGGTGTCCGTCCGTCTGTCTGTCCGGCGTAAACATGTCGAACCGTAACTTGAGAATGACATCCAAATTTCATGAAACTTAACATAGTTGTTTCTTATGATGGTCAAACGATCTGTATACTTTTTGGTGAAAATAAGATTAAAACTTTTTGAGTTACGGGACTTAGTAACTAAAACAGGTGTGTGTTTTTTTTCACATGTCGCGCCGTATCTCAAAAACAATTTATGATTATTGCTTAAAACTTTACACACTTCTTAGTTATATTAATCTTAAGATCTGTATACTTTTTGGTGATGATTCAAATTTTATTTTAGAGATATTGAGTATTTTGTTAAAAAAGGGGGAGGGGTTTTTCACATGTCGCGCCGTATCTCAAAAACAGTTTATGATTATTGCTTAAAACTTTACACACTTCTTAGTTAGTTATATTAACCTTAAGATCTGTATACTTTTTGGTGATGATTCAAAATTTTATTTTTGAGTTATTGAGTATTTTGTAAAAAAATGGGGGAGGGGTTTTTCACATGTCGCGCCGTATCTCAAAAACGATTTATGATTATTGCTTAAAATTTTACACACTTCTTAGTTATATTAATCTAAAGATCTGTATACTTTTTGGTTTTGATTCAAAATTTTATTTTTGAGATATTGATTTTTTTTTTTAAAAGTGGGGTTTTCACATGTCGCACCGTATCTCAAAAACGATTTATGATTATTGCTTAAAATTTTACACACTTCTTAGTTATATTAATCTAAAGATCTGTATACTTTTTGGTTTTGATTAAAAATTTTATTTTAGAGATACTGAGTTTTTAGTAAAAAAAAAAAGGAGGTTTTCGCATGTCACGCCGTATGTCAGAAACTATTTATGCTTATTGCATAAAAATTCACACACAAGACGACAGGCGTATCATGAGCTCATGGCTCAGCTGTTTATTAACTTTAGTTTGCCTCAACCAAATGTTTTGAAACTTATACACAATGCTAATTACCACAAAACATTGTTCAGCTTTGAATTTAAATGACGTCACTTTTACATGTAATATGGACACATTCTCCATTTATTTATCTTATTGCAAATTAGATCTATGAAAAAATAACAAGGATTTTATAAGATTTTTAAACATGGGTTTATAAAGCATATGTAATAAAATTATGAAAAGATAAGGGAGCTACCATTTGATTTTTATGGGAGGGGCTAGGATGAAAAATTTGTCCTGCATTTTTTTTTAGTTATCTCTGTCCTGCCTTTTTATTTTTCACTCTATTCGGTCCTGCATTTTTATGGCCCCACAACAAAGTTGTCGGGGCCATATAGTTTTACCTTTGTCCGTCATTCTGTCATTCCGTCATTCTGTCATTCTGTCATTCCGTCATTCCGACATTCCGCAACAAACCATTATACAGACTTTTTTTCTAAACGCCTTCAGATATTGGGCTGATTTTTGGTATGTGAGTTAACCATGATGAGTTACAGATCAAGTTAAGTTTAGTTCCACTCTGCTAACTTTTGCTGAAATTATGGGCTTTGGACTTTGATAAATTGTTGAAAATCACAGTTATACAGACTTTTTTCTAAACGCCTTTAGATATTGGGCTGATTTTTGGTATGTGAGTTAACCATGTTGAGTTACAGATCAAGTTTATGTTTTGTTCCGATATGATGATTTTCATGTCGTTTCAACACATCTTCAGTACATCCACTTCCTGTTTGCTGATAGTTTGAAATTTAACTACTCATTGATCAAGGAAATTTTTCATCAAACTAGTATTGGTCTTGAGAGCTGGATACTATCCATGCATGTTTGTTGTCCACATGTGTTGTTGAAATTGCAGATTTTTCAGTTGTTTGAGACGGGGTCATTCGTGTCGTTCAGACACATCGTTTTTTGTTAGTTTATCCTGACTTTTTTTACATAAATTGTCATCCTGCCTTTTTTTTTGCCAAGTTGCTCATCCTGCCTTTTTTTTTACTCAAAACTCCTGTCCTTCCTTTTTTTTCAAATTTCATCCTAGCCCCCTCACCCCTAAAAATCAATTGGTAGCTCCCTAAGTAGGGGTAAGTGGGCAAAATTGTAATGGCACTTCATGGATAAAACAAGAGGATTCTGAATTTCTGACAAAAAGTTAAAAAAAAAAAAGAGCCACCATCCTTAAGTATTAATGTGTTTATGACACTTGGACAAAGACCATAACCATATATCCCCTGTGGTGCAAAGTAGACAAAAAGAAATTCTGACCAATCTCTTAAAACTATCAAGCCTAATGCACATTATATTCCCCTCAATTTTTATTTTAAGATGAAAAAAAATTTGTTTTCAACAGAGTATATACCTACTAATTTATGAGTATTAGACCACCAAGTTTTACTCCCCATCCATGAAAACAGTCACTGTAATAACCTAAAAAGGAATTAAAATTGACACAAATTATATATATATATATTTTTCGAAAGTGTTAAATTGTCAGCCAAAAAATTAATTTTCTGCCTTCAGATTTTGCATAGCATCAAAACCAGTTTAATATCTATAAAACTGGGAAAAAAAACATGTTTTGATTTTGTTTTAACATTAATTTTTTTCTCAATAATCTATAAGTTATCTCCCATTGAATGACACATTCTTACTGTTTGTTGTACTAGCCTCCCCCTGAAGGTGAAATCTATCTCAGAATTTGCTTTTCAAATGATATATTATTTAATTCATGTTACTGGAAACCAAATATCAAACTGATAAAATAGCTGTTTTTTGTCATATTTTCATAAAAGTCTATGAAGGTTTGACATTTGACGAGTGATTGATAACTAATATTTTAACCTTAAAATTATTGTAGTGAAAACTTTGAAAAAAGTCCATTTATTGCATCTGTTGCAATGAAAGACTGATTTCCAAGTTAAATAAAAATTGATAATTCCCCTTCTCTGATTTTATATACAGCAATAATAACTAATTAACTCATTCCCTACACACATTTATTCCTTCAATTTGAATTTCAAAATTTTGCTGTGGATTCTTTTGATGTACAATAACTTCATAGTTTGATAAAGTTTTTGATGTTTGAAAACTTTTTAACCAAAATACTGAACCTAAATTTGGACGCCTAAAACAAAGTAATGTGAATTACTATGCCTGGCTTCTGCGACAAAATGTCACAGGCAAAATTCAAGTGCATATACATAATCTTTAATCGACAAGTTTATAAATCTATGCAATGGTTCTGACCTTAAAAGACAGCTCCAATGACCATTCTAAACAATCCATACTGACCAGCAGTAATTAATGCTAGCCTGAAAGTAAAATGCTTAGTCAATCAAAATTGTTCAAAACAGAGGCTCTTAAGAGCCTGTGTCGCTCATCAGCATCTTCAACAATAACCACTTCATGGTAAAAATCATCACAAAAGGGTAATAACTTTATAAAGAGTAAACTGACGATTTCAGTCATGTTGACATATTTGTAGGTCTTGTCCTGTTGATAATTTTTGCTTTTTAATGTTTTTATCTACATTTGTATCCATTTTACTTTTCTCAAGATAATAGGCAAAAACTAAAAAAACGTGGTAAAAAAACGACAAACTCTATTAACAGGTCAACTTAAGATGTAATCCAAGGCAGCCTTTTTGTAAATCTTGACTTGCTGATCAATGGTAAAAATCTACATTGAAGATCAATAACTCCAATAACTAGTCCTCAGAAGATTTCAGTCATTTGACTTTTGTGCATATCTTGTCTTGCTTTTTTTGTATTAAAATTTCTCTCCATCTATTTTTATTTTCAAAATAATGAAAAAAATGAAAAAAATTGGTAAAACTTTACATTTAAGGGCAATAACTCCTTTAAGAATGTCTGACAGTTTTGACGTAATTGTACAGCAGGTAGATCTCAACATTCTGAACATTTTTTTCATTTTCGTGGATTGAGGAACAATTGTATTTTTGTGGGTTTTGCTACAGTTGGCATACAAGCCTATAGAAAATGTGTACTACATTAAACATTTATATATGTTGGTCACTTATATATCCATGAAAATTGGTATCTAAAGAATAATAAATCAAGAGTATATGGAAATAGGTTATATATGACATAAACTGTTAACACAGAGATAATTGTCTCGTCTATTTGTTATTTTGATAATGCAAATGTTGAAATTAAAATAGCAATACTTTAACATGTAAGTTATGCAAATATTCAAAGTCAATGAACCATGATATGACTGAAGGTACAGGGCTAAACAATCTCCATGGAAATGAGATGTGCCAATGTTAATACAACTGCAAACCAAATACCGTTGACTTTTCATAAGTCGTTCCCTTTAAACAAACCTAAACACAAACATCAACTTGTAAACTATGTAAAAGTTTCAAAGTCAATGAACCATAATTAGGGGGTGGGGTTATATAATCTCCATGGAAACGAAACTTGCAAATGCCAATACATTTCCATACCTAATATCATTGACTTAACATAAGTGGTTAATCTTAAACTGACCTAATCACAAACTAATACATGTAAACTAAGCAAAAGTTTCAAAGTCAATAGACCATGACTGAGGGGTAGGGACCAAATATTCTCCATGGAAATGAGATATGCCAATGCTTATACAACTGCATACCAAATATCAATGACCTACCACTAGTGGTTCCCCATAAACTGACCTAATCACAAACTAATACATGAAAACTAAGCAAAAGTTTCAAAGTCAATAGGCCATGAATGAGGGGCGGGGCCAAATAATCTTCATGGAAATGAGATATGCCAATGCTTATACAACTGCATACCAAATAACATTGACCTACCACTAGTGGTTTACCATGAACTAGACCTAATCACAAACTAATACATTGTTGATGCTGCCGCCACCAGAAACAGCATACCTATGTCTCGCATTTTGACTCCGTCAAGGCGAGACAAAAATGAGTAACAGAAGATGTGTTGTATACATCAATGTGACAACATCCCAACAACACAAAAATATGACATCCACAGAATTAATTAAAATCTTTAAAACATTTGGTCAAATTTTGGTACTGATATGAAAAAACAAACTTTTGACCTCTTACATCTTCAAGGATAGAGCATATTTTATTTCCTATAAACTTATTTTATGATGAAAATAAAACTTGTTTAAATAGAGGAATTATATACCTACTTAAATATTAGACATATTATACCACCAAGTCTTACTCCCATCCATGAAAACACTGAAATCACCTAAAAAGGAATTAAAATTGACATAAATTATACATTTTACAAATCTTGTTGAAATTGCCAGCCTAATATTTTCAATGAATAATCTCCAAATGAATGAAACAGTCTTGTCGTTTGTTGTACTAGTCTCCCCTTGAAGGAAAAATTCTCTCTGAATTTTACTTTTTGTGATTTGAATGCTTTATTCATGTTCCTGGAAACCATATATTGAATTGATAAATTATTTTTTGTGTGTGTTGTAAGTGTGGAAAACAAGAAAACAGATGTTGCCTTCTGTACTTTTATCACATATTTTTATACGCCCGTTTACGGGACGTATTATGGTATACCGTTGTCCGTTCGTTCGTCTGTCCGTCTGTCCATCCGTCGTCAACATGTCGGACATTAACTCAAAAACGCTTATTTAAATTGCCAGCCTAATATTTTCAATGAGTAATCTCAAAATGAATGAAACAGTCTTGCCGTTTGTTGTACTATTCTCCCCTTGAAGGAAAAATTCTCTCTGAATTTTACTTTTTGTGATTTGAAAGCTTTAGTCATGTTCCTGGAAACCATATATTGAATTGATAAGTTATTTTTTTTGTGTGTTGTAAGTGTGGAAAATAAGAAAACGGATGTTGCCTTCTGTATTTTTATCACATATTTTTAGAGAATATACAGAAATTGTATTGCCTAATTGTACTTACATTATTTCTTTAATGGCCACACATCAGACTTGCAAGATTATCAATGTAATAATCTTCACTGGAGCTGCTGTCCTTGCTTTTTTATTTTTTTCATGGCAGAGCCTCGGAGTTAGTAATGAAGATCTATGTTACCATCTTGCTTGGAACTGCTATCCCTGCATGCTGCTTTATTTTGTTTTTTTCACTCTGCATGTAGATTGAAATCAGATAGTTATTGTATATATGTACCACTCAGAAATGTGTTTATCCCCCCAAACGTGTCTGATTCCCCCAAACGTGTCCATATGACGTCAATGAACTGCAAAATATGACTTGTTGCTAAAGGGCATCAAAACGTGTTCTGTTTATGAACGCCCCAACATATCCAGTCTATATGGAACCAAAGGTTTCTTTTAAAAAGCCCAGAAACAACTTCTGCAGGAAGCCTGTCGTGCAATACCCTCATACATTATACAGATATTTAGGCATCACCGGAGTTTCTTAGTACAAAATAATTCACTAAGTAAACGATGATTTACACTGTACAAAACTAGTTCATTGCGTTTTCTGTGCAATTGTTTGCTCTAAAAATGCTTGAAATATTTGCCACTGGCATTAAGCAATCAACGGTCAATAGTTAAATTAAGCTTGCAATAATGCTTAATATAAACAACGGGCATTGAACAAATTAATGCTAATAAATGACCACTGTATTAACAGTGAAGCACTGGGAAAACATGCAATATATAAATTGTATGAGATTTCTTAATTATGAAGTACCTCCATCTATTATTGAAAACAATGACAATTCTATTGATAAAAAATTAATAAAACCGCTGTAAGTAAAAATAGCTTTTTATTTTGTCATCCTTTTTCTTACACTGTGTCTGTTTATTTGAAAGCAGAAGTCCCTGTGCACATTGTACCATATCTTTAATATTTGTTTATGCCGATTACTATATCTTTCCTCCAGATGTCCTTAGATAGCTGCTTAGATTTATTTTTAAAATCCAACCCAAACCCGACGTCTTCTATCGTGTCCCCCATCATTGTATTGCCGTAAACTTCACAGGAGACATATATAGTTTTGAGACGTTTTGGCGCTTTAAACTGGACACGTTTTGGCGAATGACATTATTGGACACGTTTGGGGGAGTGAAATCAGTCACGTTTGGGCAATTTAGGATTCTAAGGCCACGTTTGGGCGAAATAGACACGTTTGGGGTAATTGGACATGTTTTGGGGGAATGGACGTGTTTGGGAGTGTTATATATATATCATGATTTCTTCAACTACTCTTAAATATGTTCACCAAAGTTAAACTGAATCTTGAACAGTTTGTACATTTACAATTTAACTTTTTTAAATATTAATTTTGCACATATTCAGTTTTAGTTGTTAATTCTACAGGTCTTTGAAGCATTTCATATTAGTGTTGATATATCAAAGGACAGATGGGCATCTCACATCATCCTTTGGGCTCTCAATTAATTCTCATCTGTGTTTTTGGACATTTAAGAAATTTTATTGTCTGGATTTATAAACCAAATTATTTTTATTCCCCCAAGTATTCTGTTGTCTGGTCACTATCTTCAGTTCCAACTTGTTTGGCTGCCATATATAAAGCTATAGGGAGCCATACTGTGTTCCTTTGAATTGAAAGGTGTGTCACGGTCTTTGAAGTTTGCTCCTTATGAATGGCTAATAAACTTTTAGGCCACAAACGGTCAAAATTTTTACACAGATGAGATGACTCTCAAAAAAAAAAATAAAATAAAAGTTTTTCGACAAATTGCAGACTGTAAGCTTACATGATTTTACTTCTTTCAGTCTTTCTTACATCACAGAGTACTAGAATGTCCTACCACAGTGTAGGTTACCTATCGAAAAGTTCTATACTCTGGAGTCAATTCGGTAACATGAAAATAGATTATAACAATACATTTTTATTAAAGAATGTATCATTAGAATATTAATTTGAAAGCTATAAATATTAAACCGAGTTGTAATTAAAAAACCAAGCAATTTTCCCAGGGGAAACTGATTTTATCATTACCTAACAAGGTTTAACCTAACTCATCTTCATCTTCTATGTACAATGGAACCATCTTCAAGCTGTACCACTGAAACTTCTCAGGCCTGTATTTGTAACAAAAACAAAAATTATAAATGAGTGATGTGTTGGATAACTTTTGGCACAAATAATTTACCGTTAATTCAGAAACACTTTTGCAAGGTTTTATTAATCTGAATAATGCGACAGGTTGAGTATTGCAATAATAAGAAACTCCAATTCTGATATCTGTACGAAGAATTTCCTGAAATTCAATAAAATAATCTTACTTTTAGTCCATTATGTAAAAATAGCAATAATAAATGCACACATGATGTACAGTAGTTGTTTATGTAATTCATACGTGTTTCTCGTTTCTCGTTTTTACATAGATTAGACCGTTGGTTTTTCCCATTTGAAGGTTTTACACTAGTAATTTTTGGGGCCCTTTATAGCTTGCTGTTTGGTGTGAGCTGATGCTCCGGGTTGAAGGCCCTACCTTGACCTATAATGGTTTACTTTGATAAATTGTTACTTGGATGGAGAGTTGTCTCATTGGCACTCATACCACATCTTCCTATACCTATACACAATAATTTGGTGGCTAACCAAAACAATCTGATGTATACATTTTGAACAGAAATGATTAAAATTCAACTGAATTTCAAACAATCTAAATCAAGTCATATTTTCCAAATTACTTTAAAAAAATCGACTAAATATGTAGATATCCAAATTGACAATCGGAAACTTTACTTTCATTCAGGTGAGACTATTAGAGAAAAAGTTTCCAAATTGTCAATGTTAAGAGACTATTTGCTGTAATAATTAATTCAGAAGTTAATGTGATGCATGTTTTAATTCAAATCCTAAATTTGAGTACCAGTATACTTTCTTATTAAAATATGTTCCATTATTTTTTACTAATTTGTAATAAATTTTCAAGCTGTTTCTCCAGGGAAAACTTTTTTTATTACCTTACAACTTATTAACAGTTTAAGTACAATTGTAATGACAAAATACCTACATCATCATCTTTTTTCTTCTTCTCTCTTGGTTGCCGTCTATCTGTAATACATATTCAAATTATTTTAATATCTATAGGACAACTATTAATCTATATTTCAATCAATAATGAAGACTGTTTAATGATATAATTAATGTTCCTGTCAAATTATCAGAAGTTGGTGGATAACCAAAACAATCTGATGTATACATTTTGAACAGAAATGATTAAAATTCAACTGAATTTCAAACAATCTAAATCGAGTCATATTTTCCAAATTACTTTAAAAAAATCGACTAAATATGTAGATATCCAAATTGGCAATCGAAAACTTTACTTTCGTTCAGGTGAGGCTATTAGAGAAAGGGCTTCCAAATTGTCAATGTTAAGAGACTATTTGCTGTTATAACTAATTCAGAAATTAATGTGATGCATGTTTTAATTCAAATCCTAAATTGGAATACAAGTATACTTTTTTATTAAAATATATTTCATTAGAGTATAAAGTTGAAAAAGAAATTTTGGACTAATTTGTAATAAATTTTCAAGCTGTTTCTCCAGGGAAAACTGATTTTATTACCTTACAACTTATTAACAGTTTAAGTACAATTGTAATGACAAAATACCTACATCATCATCTAGGCATCTAGGCATCTTTAATTTAATCGTCTCCAGGTCTAGAACTGTACTCTCTTCTTCTTTTGGGCTGCCGTCTATCTGTAATACATATTCAAATTATTTTAATATCTATAGGACAACTATTAATAAATAAAAAAAAAAATATACTTACTTTCCGATTCATACTTTACCTGTTCCGATGTAAATATCCCGGGGCTGGTATCTGAAACAAAAACAAAATAAGTTCAAAAATATTGAACCAAATATAAAACTTAAAAAAATTTGCTACTTTAATTTTTTTTTCTTTCAAAATATCTATAAAGAAAAACTGGCATTAATGGCAGCCATCATCATTGGTCAATTGCTCTTTTTGACTGTATATCATTAACTTATTTTCATTTTAAATCTATATTTCAATCAGTAATGAAGACGGTTTAATGATATAATCATTATTTCCGAAATTAATGTGCGTGTCAAATTATCAGAAGTTGGTGGCTAACCAAAACAATCTGATGTATACATTTTGAACAGAAATGATTAAAATTCAACTGAATTTCAAACAATCTAAATCAAGTCATATTTTCCAAATTACTTTAAAAAAAAATCGACTAAATATGTAGATATCCAAATTGACAATCGGAAACTTTACTTTCGTACAGGTGAGACTATTAGAGAAAGGGTTTCCAAATTGTCAATGTTAAGAGACTATTTGCTGTTATAATTAATTCAGAAATTAATGTGATGCATGTTTTAATTCAAATCCTAAATTGGAGTACAAGTATACTTTTTTCATTAGAGTATAAATTTGAAAAGAAATTTTGGACTAATTTGTAATAAATTTTCAAGCTGTTTCTCCAGGGAAAACTGATTTTATTACCTTACAACTATTAACAGTTTAAGTACAATTGTAACAACAAAATACCTACATCATCATCTTGGCATCTACAATTTTATCATCTCCATGTCTAGGACTGTACTGTCTTCTTCTTCTCTGTTGGCTCCCGTCTATCTGTAATACATATTCAAATTATTTTAATATCTATTAGACAACTATTAATAAATAAAAAAAAATATACTTACTTTCCGATGCATATGTTACCTGTCCTGACGTTAATATCCTGGGGCTGGTATCTGAAACAAAAACAAAATAAGTTCAAAAATATTGAACCAAATATAAAACTTAAAAAATTTGCTACTTTAATTTGTTTTTCTTTCAAAATGTCTATAAAGAAAAACTGGCATTAATGGCAGCCATCATCATTGGTCAATTGCTCTTTTTGACTGTATATCATTAACTTATTTTCATTTTAATCTATATTTCAATCAGTAATGAAGACGGTTTAATGATATAATCATTATTTCCGAAATTAATGTGCGTGTCAAATTATCAGAAGTTGGTGGCTAACCAAAACAATCTGATGTATACATTTTGAACAGAAATGATTAAAATTCAACTGAATTTCAAACAATCTAAATCAAGTCATATTTTCCAAATTACTTTAAAAAAAAATCGACTAAATATGTAGATATCCAAATTGACAATCGGAAACTTTACTTTCGTACAGGTGAGACTATTAGAGAAAGGGTTTCCAAATTGTCAATGTTAAGAGACTATTTGCTGTTATAATTAATTCAGAAATTAATGTGATGCATGTTTTAATTCAAATCCTAAATTGGAGTACAAGTATTACTTTTTTCATTAGAGTATAAATTTGAAAAGAAATTTTGGACTAATTTGTAATAAATTTTCAAGCTGTTTCTCCAGGGAAAACTGATTTTATTACCTTACAACTATTAACAGTTTAAGTACAATTGTAACAACAAAATACCTACATCATCATCTTGGCATCTACAATTTAATCATCTCCATGTCTAGGACTGTACTGTCTTCTTCTTCTCTGTTGGCTCCCGTCTATCTGTAATACATATTCAAATTATTTTAATATCTATTAGACAACTATTAATAAATAAAAAAAATATACTTACTTTCCGATGCATATGTTACCTGTCCTGACGTTAATATCCTGGGGCTGGTATCTGAAACAAAAACAAAATAAGTTCAAAAATATTGAACCAAATATAAAACTTAAAAAATTTGCTACTTTAATTTGTTTTTCTTTCAAAATGTCTATAAAGAAAAACTGGCATTAATGGCAGCCATCATCATTGGTCAATTGCTCTTTTTGACTGTATATCATTAACTTATTTTCATTTTAAATCTATATTTCAATCAGTAATGAAGACGGTTAAATGATATAATCATTATTTCCGAAATTAATGTGCGTGTCAAATTATCAGAAGTTGGTGGCTAACCAAAACAATCTGATGTATACATTTTGAACAGAAATGATTAAAATTCAACGGAATTTCAAACAATCTAAATCAAGTCATATTTTCCAAATTACTTTAAAAAAAAATCGACTAAATATGTAGATATCCAAATTGACAATCGGAAACTTTACTTTCGTACAGGTGAGACTATTAGAGAAAGGGTTTCCAAATTGTCAATGTTAAGAGACTATTTGCTGTTATAATTAATTCAGAAATTAATGTGATGCATGTTTTAATTCAAATCCTAAATTGGAGTACAAGTATACTTTTTTCTTTGGGTTATAAATTTGAAAAGAAATTTTGGACTAATTTGTAATAAATTTTCAAGCTGTTTCTCCAGGGAAAACTGATTTTATTACCTTACAACTATTAACAGTTTAAGTACAATTGTAACAACAAAATACCTACATCATCATCTTGGCATCTACAATTTAATCATCTCCATGTCTAGGACTGTACTGTCTTCTTCTTCTCTGTTGGCTCCCGTCTATCTGTAATACATATTCAAATTATTTTAATATCTATTAGACAACTATTAATAAATAAAAAAAAATATACTTACTTTCCGATGCATATGTTACCTGTCCTGACGTAAATATCCTGGGGCTGGTATCTGAAACAAAGACAAAATAAGTTCAAAAATATTGAACCAAATATAAAACTTAAAAAATTTGCTACTTTAATTTGTTTTTCTTTCAAAATATCTATAAAGAAAAACTGGCATTAATGGCAGCCATCATCATTGGTCAATTGCTCTTTTTGACTGTATATCATTAACTTATTTTCATTTTAAATCTATATTTCAATCAGTAATGAATACGGTTTAATGATATAATCATTATTTCCGAAATTAATGTGCGTGTCAAATTATCAGAAGTTGGTGGCTAACCAAAACAATCTGATGTATACATTTGAACAGAAATGATTAAAATTCAACTGAATTTCAAACAATCTAAATCAAGTCATATTTTCCAAATTACTTTAAAAAAAAATCGACTAAATATGTAGATATCCAAATTGACAATCGGAAACTTTTCTTTCGTACAGGTGAGACTATTAGAGAAAGGGTTTCCAAATTGTCAATGTTAAGAGACTATTTGCTGTTATAATTAATTCAGAAATTAATGTGATGCATGTTTTAATTCAAATCCTAAATTGGAGTACAAGTATTACTTTTTTCATTAGAGTATAAATTTGAAAAGAAATTTTGGACTAATTTGTAATAAATTTTCAAGCTGTTTCTCCAGGGAAAACTGATTTTATTACCTTACAACTATTAACAGTTTAAGTACAATTGTAACAACAAAATACCTACATCATCATCTTGGCATCTACAATTTAATCATCTCCATGTCTAGGACTGTACTGTCTTCTTCTTCTCTGTTGGCTCCCGTCTATCTGTAATACATATTCAAATTATTTTAATATCTATTAGACAACTATTAATAAATAAAAAAAATATACTTACTTTCTGATGCATATGTTACCTGTCCTGACGTAAATATCCTGGGGCTGGTATCTGAAACAAAAACAAAATAAGTTCAAAAATATTGAACCAAATATAAAACTTAAAAAATTTGCTACTTTAATTTGTTTTTCTTTCAAAATGTCTATAAAGAAAAACTGGCATTAATGGCAGCCATCATCATTGGTCAATTGCTCTTTTTGACTGTATATCATTAACTTATTTTCATTTTAAATCTATATTTCAATCAGTAATGAATACGGTTTAATGATATAATCATTATTTCCGAAATTAATGTGCGTGTCAAATTATCAGGAGTTGGTGGCTAACCAAAACAATCTGATGTATACATTTGAACAGAAATGATTAAAATTCAACTGAATTTCAAACAATCTAAATAAAGTCATATTTTCCAAATTACTTTAAAAAAAAATCGACTAAATATGTAGATATCCAAATTGACAATCGGAAACTTTTCTTTCGTACAGGTGAGACTATTAGAGAAAGGGTTTCCAAATTGTCAATGTTAAGAGACTATTTGCTGTTAAAAAAATAATTCAGAAATTAATGTGATGCATGTTTTAATTCAAATCCTAAATTGGAGTACAAGTATACTTTTTTCATTAGAGTATAAATTTGAAAAGAAATTTTGGACTAATTTGTAATAAATTTTCAAGCTGTTTCTCCAGGGAAAACTGATTTTATTACCTTACAACTATTAACAGTTTAAGTACAATTGTAACAACAAAATACCTACATCATCATCTTGGCATCTACAATTTAATCATCTCCATGTCTAGGACTGTACTGTCTTCTTCTTCTCTGTTGGCTCCCGTCTATCTGTAATACATATTCAAATTATTTTAATATCTATTAGACAACTATTAATAAATAAAAAAAATATACTTACTTTCCGATGCATATGTTACCTGTCCTGACGTTAATATCCTGGGGCTGGTATCTGAAACAAAAACAAAATAAGTTCAAAAATATTGAACCAAATATAAAACTTAAAAAATTTGCTACTTTAATTTGTTTTTCTTTCAAAATGTCTATAAAGAAAAACTGGCATTAATGGCAGCCATCATCATTGGTCAATTGCTCTTTTTGACTGTATATCATTAACTTATTTTCATTTTAAATCTATATTTCAATCAGTAATGAAGACGGTTAAATGATATAATCATTATTTCCGAAATTAATGTGCGTGTCAAATTATCAGAAGTTGGTGGCTAACCAAAACAATCTGATGTATACATTTTGAACAGAAATGATTAAAATTCAACGGAATTTCAAACAATCTAAATCAAGTCATATTTTCCAAATTACTTTAAAAAAAAATCGACTAAATATGTAGATATCCAAATTGACAATCGGAAACTTTACTTTCGTACAGGTGAGACTATTAGAGAAAGGGTTTCCAAATTGTCAATGTTAAGAGACTATTTGCTGTTATAATTAATTCAGAAATTAATGTGATGCATGTTTTAATTCAAATCCTAAATTGGAGTACAAGTATTCTTTGGGTTATAAATTTGAAAAGAAATTTTGGACTAATTTGTAATAAATTTTCAAGCTGTTTCTCCAGAGAAAACTGATTTTATTACCTTACAACTATTAACAGTTTAAGTACAATTGTAACAACAAAATACCTACATCATCATCTTGGCATCTACAATTTAATCATCTCCATGTCTAGGACTGTACTGTCTTCTTCTTCTCTGTTGGCTCCCGTCTATCTGTAATACATATTCAAATTATTTTAATATCTATTAGACAACTATTAATAAATAAAAAAAAATATACTTACTTTCCGATGCATATGTTACCTGTCCTGACGTAAATATCCTGGGGCTGGTATCTGAAACAAAGACAAAATAAGTTCAAAAATATTGAACCAAATATAAAACTTAAAAAATTTGCTACTTTAATTTGTTTTTCTTTCAAAATATCTATAAAGAAAAATTGGCATTAATGGCAGCCATCATCATTGGTCAATTGCTCTTTTTGACTGTATATCATTAACTTATTTTCATTTTAAATCTATATTTCAATCAGTAATGAATTTGGTTTAATGATATAATCATTATTTCCGAAATTAATGTGCGTGTCAAATTATCAGAAGTTGGTGGCTAACCAAAACAATCTGATGTATACATTTGAACAGAAATGATTAAAATTCAACTGAATTTCAAACAATCTAAATCAAGTCATATTTTCCAAATTACTTTAAAAAAAAATCGACTAAATATGTAGATATCCAAATTGACAATCAGAAACTTTTCTTTCGTACAGGTGAGACTATTAGAGAAAGGGTTTCCAAATTGTCAATGTTAAGAGACTATTTGCTGTTAAAAAAATAATTCAGAAATTAATGTGATGCATGTTTTAATTCAAATCCTAAATTGGAGTACAAGTATACTTTTTTCATTAGAGTATAAATTTGAAAAGAAATTTTGGACTAATTTGTAATAAATTTTCAAGCTGTTTCTCCAGGGAAAACTGATTTTATTACCTTACAACTATTAACAGTTTAAGTACAATTGTAACAACAAAATACCTACATCATCATCTTGGCATCTACAATTTAATCATCTCCATGTCTAGGACTGTACTGTCTTCTTCTTCTCTGTTGGCTCCCGTCTATCTGTAATACATATTCAAATTATTTTAATATCTATTAGACAACTATTAATAAATAAAAAAAAATAAACTTACTTTCCGATGCATATGTTACCTGTCCTGACGTAAATATCCTGGGGCTGGTATCTGAAACAAAGACAAAATAAGTTCAAAAATATTGAACTAAATATAAAACTTAAAAAATTTGCTACTTTAATTTGTATTCTTTCAAAATATCTATAAAGAGAAACTGGCATTAATGGCAGCCATCATCATTGGTCAATTGCTCTTTTTGACTGTATATCATTAACTTATTTTCATTTTAAATCTATATTTCAATCAGTAATGAAGACGGTTTAATGATATAATCATTATTTCCGAAATTAATGTGCGTGTCAAATTATCAGAAGTTGGTGGCTAACCAAAACAATCTGATGTATACATTTTGAACAGAAATGATTAAAATTCAACTGAATTTCAAACAATCTAAATCAAGTGATATTTTCCAAATTACTTTAAAAAAAAATCGACTAAATATGTAGATATCCAAATTGACAATCGGAAACTTTACTTTCGTACAGGTGAGACTATTAGAGAAAGGGTTTCCAAATTGTCAATGTTAAGAGACTATTTGCTGTTATAATTAATTCAGAAATTAATGTGATGCATGTTTTAATTCAAATCCTAAATTGGAGTACAAGTATTACTTTTTTCATTAGAGTATAAATTTGAAAAGAAATTTTGGACTAATTTGTAATAAATTTTCAAGCTGTTTCTCCAGGGAAAACTGATTTTATTACCTTACAACTATTAACAGTTTAAGTACAATTGTAACAACAAAATACCTACATCATCATCTTGGCATCTACAATTTAATCATCTCCATGTCTAGGACTGTACTGTCTTCTTCTTCTCTGTTGGCTCCCGTCTATCTGTAATACATATTCAAATTATTTTAATATCTATTAGACAACTATTAATAAATAAAAAAAAATATACTTACTTTCCGATGCATATGTTACCTGTCCTGACGTAAATATCCTGGGGCTGGTATCTGAAACAAAAACAAAATAAGTTCAAAAATATTGAACCAAATATAAAACTTAAAAAATTTGCTACTTTAATTTGTTTTTCTTTCAAAATGTCTATAAAGAAAAACTGGCATTAATGGCAGCCATCATCATTGGTCAATTGCTCTTTTTGACTGTATATCATTAACTTATTTTCATTTTAAATCTATATTTCAATCAGTAATGAAGACGGTTTAATGATATAATCATTATTTCCGAAATTAATGTGCGTGTCAAATTATCAGAAGTTGGTGGCTAACCAAAACAATCTGATGTATACATTTTGAACAGAAATGATAAAAATTCAACGGAATTTCAAACAATCTAAATCAAGTCATATTTTCCAAATTACTTTAAAAAAAAATCGACTAAATATGTAGATATCCAAATTGACAATCGGAAACTTTACTTTCGTACAGGTGAGACTATTAGAGAAAGGGTTTCCAAATTGTCAATGTTAAGAGACTATTTGCTGTTATAATTAATTCAGAAATTAATGTGATGCATGTTTTAATTCAAATCCTAAATTGGAGTACAAGTATACTTTTTTCATTAGAGTATAAATTTGAAAAGAAATTTTGGACTAATTTGTAATAAATTTTCAAGCTGTTTCTCCAGAGAAAACTGATTTTATTACCTTACAACTATTAACAGTTTAAGTACAATTGTAACAACAAAATACCTACATCATCATCTTGGCATCTACAATTTAATCATCTCCTTGTCTAGGACTGTACTGTCTTCTTCTTCTCTGTTGGCTCCCGTCTATCTGTAATACATATTCAAATTATTTTAATATCTATTAGACAACTATTAATAAATAAAAAAAAATATACTTACTTTCCGATGCATATGTTACCTGTCCTGACGTAAATATCCTGGGGCTGGTATCTGAAACAAAGACAAAATAAGTTCAAAAATATTGAACCAAATATAAAACTTAAAAAATTTGCTACTTTAATTTGTTTTTCTTTCAAAATATCTATAAAGAAAAACTGGCATTAATGGCAGCCATCATCATTGGTCAATTGCTCTTTTTGACTGTATATCATTAACTTATTTTCATTTTAAATCTATATTTCAATCAGTAATGAATACGGTTTAATGATATAATCATTATTTCCGAAATTAATGTGCGTGTCAAATTATCAGGAGTTGGTGGCTAACCAAAACAATCTGATGTATACATTTGAACAGAAATGATTAAAATTCAACTGAATTTCAAACAATCTAAATCAAGTCATATTTTCCAAATTACTTTAAAAAAAAATCGACTAAATATGTAGATATCCAAATTGACAATCGGAAACTTTTCTTTCGTACAGGTGAGACTATTAGAGAAAGGGTTTCCAAATTGTCAATGTTAAGAGACTATTTGCTGTTAAAAAAATAATTCAGAAATTAATGTGATGCGTGTTTTAATTCAAATCCTAAATTGGAGTACAAGTATACTTTTTTCATTAGAGTATAAATTTGAAAAGAAATTTTGGACTAATTTGTAATAAATTTTCAAGCTGTTTCTCCAGGGAAAACTGATTTTATTACCTTACAACTATTAACAGTTTAAGTACAATTGTAACAACAAAATACCTACATCATCATCTTGGCATCTACAATTTTATCATCTCCATGTCTAGGACTGTACTGTCTTCTTCTTCTCTGTTGGCTCCCGTCTATCTGTAATACATATTCAAATTATTTTAATATCTATTAGACAACTATTAATAAATAAAAAAAAATATACTTACTTTCCGATGCATATGTTACCTGTCCTGACGTTAATATCCTGGGGCTGGTATCTGAAACAAAAACAAAATAAGTTCAAAAATATTGAACCAAACATAAAACTTAAAAAATTTGCTACTTTAATTTGTTTTTCTTTCAAAATGTCTATAAAGAAAAACTGGCATTAATGGCAGCCATCATCATTGGTCAATTGCTCTTTTTGACTGTATATCATTAACTTATTTTCATTTTAAATCTATATTTCAATCAGTAATGAAGACGGTTTAATGATATAATCATTATTTCCGAAATTAATGTGCGTGTCAAATTATCAGAAGTTGGTGGCTAACCAAAACAATCTGATGTATACATTTTGAACAGAAATGATTAAAATTCAACTGAATTTCAAACAATCTAAATAAAGTCATATTTTCCAAATTACTTTAAAAAAAAATCGACTAAATATGTAGATATCCAAATTGACAATCGGAAACTTTACTTTCGTACAGGTGAGACTATTAGAGAAAGGGTTTCCAAATTGTCAATGTTAAGAGACTATTTGCTGTTAAAAAAATAATTCAGAAATTAATGTGATGCATGTTTTAATTCAAATCCTAAATTGGAGTACAAGTATACTTTTTTCATTAGAGTATAAATTTGAAAAGAAATTTTGGACTAATTTGTAATAAATTTTCAAGCTGTTTCTCCAGGGAAAACTGATTTTATTACCTTACAACTATTAACAGTTTAAGTACAATTGTAACAACAAAATACCTACATCATCATCTTGGCATCTACAATTTAATCATCTCCATGTCTAGGACTGTACTGTCTTCTTCTTCTCTGTTGGCTCCCGTCTATCTGTAATACATATTCAAATTATTTTAATATCTATTAGACAACTATTAATAAATAAAAAAAAATATACTTACTTTCCGATGCATATGTTACCTGTCCTGACGTAAATATCCTGGGGCTGGTATCTGAAACAAAGACAAAATAAGTTCAAAAATATTGAACCAAATATAAAACTTAAAAAATTTGCTACTTTAATTTGTTTTTCTTTCAAAATATCTATAAAGAAAAACTGGCATTAATGGCAGCCATCATCATTGGTCAATTGCTCTTTTTGACTGTATATCATTAACTTATTTTCATTTTAAATCTATATTTCAATCAGTAATGAAGACGGTTTAATGATATAATCATTATTTCCGAAATTAATGTGCGTGTCAAATTATCAGAAGTTGGTGGCTAACCAAAACAATCTGATGTATACATTTTGAACAGAAATGATTAAAATTCAACTGAATTTCAAACAATCTAAATCAAGTGATATTTTCCAAATTACTTTAAAAAAAAATCGACTAAATATGTAGATATCCAAATTGACAATCGGAAACTTTACTTTCGTACAGGTGAGACTATTAGAGAAAGGGTTTCCAAATTGTCAATGTTAAGAGACTATTTGCTGTTATAATTAATTCAGAAATTAATGTGATGCATGTTTTAATTCAAATCCTAAATTGGAGTACAAGTATTACTTTTTTCATTAGAGTATAAATCTGAAAAGAAATTTTGGACTAATTTGTAATAAATTTTCAAGCTGTTTCTCCAGGGAAAACTGATTTTATTACCTTACAACTATTAACAGTTTAAGTACAATTGTAACAACAAAATACCTACATCATCATCTTGGCATCTACAATTTAATCATCTCCATGTCTAGGACTGTACTGTCTTCTTCTTCTCTGTTGGCTCCCGTCTATCTGTAATACATATTCAAATTATTTTAATATCTATTAGACAACTATTAATAAATAAAAAAAATATACTTACTTTCCGATGCATATGTTACCTGTCCTGACGTAAATATCCTGGGGCTGGTATCTGAAACAAAGACAAAATAAGTTCAAAAATATTGAACCAAATATAAAACTTAAAAAATTTGCTACTTTAATTTGTTTTTCTTTCAAAATATCTATAAAGAAAAACTGGCATTAATGGCAGCCATCAATATTGGTCAATTGCTCTTTTTGACTGTATATCATTAACTTATTTTCATTTTAAATCTATATTTCAATCAGTAATGAAGACGGTTTAATGATATAATCATTATTTCCGAAATTAATGTGCGTGTCAAATTATCAGAAGTTGGTGGCTAACCAAAACAATCTGATGTATACATTTTGAACAGAAATGATTAAAATTCAAATGAATTTCAAACAATCTAAATCAAGTGATATTTTCCAAATTACTTTAAAAAAAAATCGACTAAATATGTAGATATCCAAATTGACAATCGGAAACTTTACTTTCGTACAGGTGAGACTATTAGAGAAAGGGTTTCCAAATTGTCAATGGTAAGAGACTATTTGCTGTTATAATTAATTCAGAAATTAATGTGATGCATGTTTTAATTCAAATCCTAAATTGGAGTACAAGTATTACTTTTTTCATTAGAGTATAAATTTGAAAAGAAATTTTGGACTAATTTGTAATAAATTTTCAAGCTGTTTCTCCAGGGAAAACTGATTTTATTACCTTACAACTATTAACAGTTTAAGTACAATTGTAACAACAAAATACCTACATCATGATCTTGGCATCTACAATTTAATCATCTCCATGTCTAGGACTGTACTGTCTTCTTCTTCTCTGTTGGCTCCCGTCTATCTGTAATACATATTCAAATTATTTTAATATCTATTAGACAACTATTAAAAAATAAAAAAAATATACTTACTTTCCGATGCATATGTTACCTGTCCTGACGTAAATATCCTGGGGCTGGTATCTGAAACAAAAACAAAATAAGTTCAAAAATATTGAACCAAATATAAAACTTAAAAAATTTGCTACTTTAATTTGTTTTTCTTTCAAAATGTCTATAAAGAAAAACTGGCATTAATGGCAGCCATCATCATTGGTCAATTGCTCTTTTTGACTGTATATCATTAACTTATTTTCATTTTAAATCTATATTTCAATCAGTAATGAAGACGGTTTAATGATATAATCATTATTTCCGAAATTAATGTGCGTGTCAAATTATCAGAAGTTGGTGGCTAACCAAAGCAATCTGATGTATACATTTTGAACAGAAATGATTAAAATTCAACTGAATTTCAAACAATCTAAATCAAGTCATATTTTCCAAATTACTTTAAAAAAAAATCGACTAAATATGTAGATATCCAAATTGACAATCGGAAACTTTTCTTTCGTACAGGTGAGACTATTAGAGAAAGGGTTTCCAAATTGTCAATGTTAAGAGACTATTTGCTGTTAAAAAAATAATTCAGAAATTAATGTGATGCATGTTTTAATTCAAATCCTAAATTGGAGTACAAGTATACTTTTTTCATTAGAGTATAAATTTGAAAAGAAATTTTGGACTAATTTGTAATAAATTTTCAAGCTGTTTCTCCAGGGAAAACTGATTTTATTACCTTACAACTATTAACAGTTTAAGTACAATTGTAACAACAAAATACCTACATCATCATCTTGGCATCTACAATTTAATCATCTCCATGTCTAGGACTGTACTGTCTTCTTCTTCTCTGTTGGCTCCCGTCTATCTGTAATATATATTCAAATTATTTTAATATCTATTAGACAACTATTAATAAATAAAAAAAAATATACTTACTTTCCGATGCATATGTTACCTGTCCTGACTTAAATATCCTGGGGCTGGTATCTGAAACAAAGACAAAATAAGTTCAAAAATATTGAACCAAATATAAAACTTAAAAAATTTGCTACTTTAATTTGTTTTTCTTTCAAAATATCTATAAAGAAAAACTGGCATTAATGGCAGCCATCATCATTGGTCAATTGCTCTTTTTGACTGTATATCATAAACTTATTTTCATTTTAAATCTATATTTCAATCAGTAATGAAGACGGTTTAATGATATAATCATTATTTCCGAAATTAATGTGTGTGTCAAATTATCAGAAGTTGGTGGCTAACCAAAACAATCTGATGTATACATTTTGAACAGAAATGATTAAAATTCAACTGAATTTCAAACAATCTAAATCAAGTCATATTTTCCAAATTACTTTAAAAAAAAATCGACTAAATATGAAGATATCCAAATTGACAATCGGAAACTTTACTTTCGTACAGGTGAGACTATTAGAGAAAGGGTTTCCAAATTGTCAATGTTAAGAGACTATTTGCTGTTATAAATAATTCAGAAATTAATGTGATGCATGTTTTAATTCAAATCCTAAATTGGAGTACAAGTATACTTTTTTCATTAGAGTATAAATTTGAAAAGAAATTTTGGACTAATTTGTAATAAATTTTCAAGCTGTTTCTCCAGGGAAAACTGATTTTATTACCTTACAACTATTAACAGTTTAAGTACAATTGTAACAACAAAATACCTACATCATCATCTTGGCATCTACAATTTAATCATCTCCATGTCTAGGACTGTACTGTCTTCTTCTTCTCTGTTGGCTCCCGTCTATCTGTAATACATATTCAAATTATTTTAATATCTATTAGACAACTATTAATAAATAAAAAAAAATATACTTACTTTCCGATGCATATGCAGGGCTCGACAATAACGCTTGTCCGATTGTCCGGTACCAGAGGAAAAAAAGGTCGGACAAGTAAAAGCTATATCAAGCTTGTCCGACGGGACAAGTAAAATTATTCTGCAGAAAATAAATTTAATTCAACTTTGATGAACAAAGTAATTATAAACAAAAAACAAGTATTAATTTGACATGCTTACTTGCAATCGATAATTTAAAACTGGTTTTTTGTCAGGTACTTTTTAGCAGGTTCTCGGAAACGATTCGGCTCCAAGTTTAATAGACAGTTTGGCACCGTAGGCGACATATTTAATAGACATAATTAATAGACAGTTTGGTAAGGCAGGAGACATGTCGGGACCAAGACAAATCAGTACCTCGTTTCCCTACCTTATTCTGTTGCTTTATAAATACCATACCCCTAATTTTTTAACAAAAATATTTTTTAAATAAAAATTAAGAAATTATTTACCATAAAATTCACAAAATCATATTTGATCATATGTAGAAAAAACAATACTTGCAATACAGTGACCTATAGTTGTTAATTTCTGTGTCATTTGATCTCTTGCAGAGAGTTGTCTCATTGGTAATCATACCTCATCTTCTTTTTTTAATTGATTGCATTTGAATACACTTTTATCAACTTAAAAAAACCAGGATACAAATCCAATGAGTGTACATTGGCAAACCTATCAGACAGTGCCTCATGTTCAGGGTCTGATGAGACTTTTGCAATAATGAAAACTAGAAACTATGTCATGTGACATGACTAGATTCAGTTGTTCTCGACTCATATTATTGAAAAGTATTGCAAAAGATATGTGAAAATCAAATTCTGTTCTATTGTTTTAATTCAATCAAATAAAAATGCAAAAAAGGTTATTGTTAAGATTTTTTTTGGACAAGTTACAATTTCATTCGGACAAGTAAGTTTTGGTATGTACTTCTCCTACTGGACAAGTTGAAAAAAAAGTTATTGTAGAGGCCTGATATGTTACCTGTCCTGACGTAAATATCCTGGGGCTGGTATCTGAAACAAAAACAAAATAAGTTCAAAAATATTGAACCAAATATAAAACTTAAAAAATTTGCTACTTTAATTTTTTTTTCTTTCAAAATATCTATAAAGAAAAACTGGCATTAATGGCAGCCATCATCATTGGTCAATTGCTCTTTTTGACTGTATATCATAAACTTATTTTCATTTTAAATCTATATTTCAATCAGTAATGAAGACGGTTTAATGATATAATCATTATTTCCGAAATTAATGTGTGTGTCAAATTATCAGAAGTTGGTGGCTAACCAAAACAATCTGATGTATACATTTTGAACAGAAATGATTAAAATTCAACTGAATTTCAAACAATCTAAATCAAGTCATATTTTCCAAATTACTTTAAAAAAAAATCGACTAAATATGAAGATATCCAAATTGACAATCGGAAACTTTACTTTCGTACAGGTGAGACTATTAGAGAAAGGGTTTCCAAATTGTCAATGTTAAGAGACTATTTGCTGTTATAATTAATTCAGAAATTAATGTGATGCATGTTTTAATTCAAATCCTAAATTGGAGTACAAGTATACTTTTTTCATTAGAGTATAAATTTGAAAAGAAATTTTGGACTAATTTGTAATAAATTTTCAAGCTGTTTCTCCAGGGAAAACTGATTTTATTACCTTACAACTATTAACAGTTTAAGTACAATTGTAACAACAAAATACCTACATCATCATCTTGGCATCTACAATTTAATCATCTCCATGTCTAGGACTGTACTGTCTTCTTCTTCTCTGTTGGCTCCCGTCTATCTGTAATACATATTCAAATTATTTTAATATCTATTAGACAACTATTAATAAATAAAAAAAAATATACTTACTTTCCGATGCATATGCAGGGCTCGACAATAACGCTTGTCCGATTGTCCGGTACCAGAGGAAAAAAAGGTCGGACAAGTAAAAGCTATATCAAGCTTGTCCGACGGGACAAGTAAAATTATTCTGCAGAAAATAAATTTAATTCAACTTTGATGAACAAAGTAATTATAAACAAAAAACAAGTATTAATTTGACATGCTTACTTGCAATCGATAATTTAAAACTGGTTTTTTGTCAGGTACTTTTTAGCAGGTTCTCGGAAACGATTCGGCTCCAAGTTTAATAGACAGTTTGGCACCGTAGGCGACATATTTAATAGACATAATTAATAGACAGTTTGGTAAGGCAGGAGACATGTCGGGACCAAGACAAATCAGTACCTCGTTTCCCTACCTTATTCTGTTGCTTTATAAATACCATACCCCTAATTTTTTAACAAAAATATTTTTTAAATAAAAATTAAGAAATTATTTACCATAAAATTCACAAAATCATATTTGATCATATGTAGAAAAAACAATACTTGCAATACAGTGACCTATAGTTGTTAATTTCTGTGTCATTTGATCTCTTGCAGAGAGTTGTCTCATTGGTAATCATACCTCATCTTCTTTTTTTAATTGATTGCATTTGAATACACTTTTTTCAACTTAAAAAAACCAGGATACAAATCCAATGAGTGTACATTGGCAAACCTATCAGACAGTGCCTCATGTTCAGGGTCTGATGAGACTTTTGCAATAATGAAAACTAGAAACTATGTCATGTGACATGACTAGATTCAGTTGTTCTCGACTCATATTATTGAAAAGTATTGCAAAAGATATGTGAAAATCAAATTCTGTTCTATTGTTTTAATTCAATCAAATAAAAATGCAAAAAAGGTTATTGTTAAGATTTTTTTTGGACAAGTTACAATTTCATTCGGACAAGTAAGTTTTGGTATGTACTTCTCCTACTGGACAAGTTGAAAAAAAAGTTATTGTAGAGGCCTGATATGTTACCTGTCCTGACGTAAATATCCTGGGGCTGGTATCTGAAACAAAAACAAAATAAGTTCAAAAATATTGAACCAAATATAAAACTTAAAAAATTTGCTACTTTAATTTGTTTTTCTTTCAAAATATCTATAAAGAAAAACTGGCATTAATGGCAGCCATCATCATTGGTCAATTGCTCTTTTTGACTGTATATCATTAACTTATTTTCATTTTAAATCTATATTTCAATCAGTAATGAAGACGGTTTAATGATATAATCATTATTTCCGAAATTAATGTGCGTGTCAAATTATCAGAAGTTGGTGGCTAACCAAAACAATCTGATGTATACATTTTGAACAGAAATGATTAAAATTCAACTGAATTTCAAACAATCTAAATCAAGTGATATTTTCCAAATTACTTTAAAAAAAAATCGACTAAATATGTAGATATCCAAATTGACAATCGGAAACTTTACTTTCGTACAGGTGAGACTATTAGAGAAAGGGTTTCCAAATTGTCAATGTTAAGAGACTATTTGCTGTTATAATTAATTCAGAAATTAATGTGATGCATGTTTTAATTCAAATCCTAAATTGGAGTACAAGTATTACTTTTTTCATTAGAGTATAAATTTGAAAAGAAATTTTGGACTAATTTGTAATAAATTTTCAAGCTGTTTCTCCAGGGAAAACTGATTTTATTACCTTACAACTATTAACAGTTTAAGTACAATTGTAACAACAAAATACCTACATCATCATCTTGGCATCTACAATTTAATCATCTCCATGTCTAGGACTGTACTGTCTTCTTCTTCTCTGTTGGCTCCCGTCTATCTGTAATACATATTCAAATTATTTTAATATCTATTAGACAACTATTAATAAATAAAAAAAATATACTTACTTTCCGATGCATATGTTACCTGTCCTGACGTAAATATCCTGGGGCTGGTATCTGAAACAAAGACAAAATAAGTTCAAAAATATTGAACCAAATATAAAACTTAAAAAATTTGCTACTTTAATTTGTTTTTCTTTCAAAATATCTATAAAGAAAAACTGGCATTAATGGCAGCCATCATCATTGGTCAATTGCTCTTTTTGACTGTATATCATTAACTTATTTTCATTTTAAATCTATATTTCAATCAGTAATGAAGACGGTTTAATGATATAATCATTATTTCCGAAATTAATGTGCGTGTCAAATTATCAGAAGTTGGTGGCTAACCAAAACAATCTGATGTATACATTTTGAACAGAAATGATTAAAATTCAAATGAATTTCAAACAATCTAAATCAAGTGATATTTTCCAAATTACTTTAAAAAAAAATCGACTAAATATGTAGATATCCAAATTGACAATCGGAAACTTTACTTTCGTACAGGTGAGACTATTAGAGAAAGGGTTTCCAAATTGTCAATGTTAAGAGACTATTTGCTGTTATAATTAATTCAGAAATTAATGTGATGCATGTTTTAATTCAAATCCTAAATTGGAGTACAAGTATTACTTTTTTCATTAGAGTATAAATTTGAAAAGAAATTTTGGACTAATTTGTAATAAATTTTCAAGCTGTTTCTCCAGGGAAAACTGATTTTATTACCTTACAACTATTAACAGTTTAAGTACAATTGTAACAACAAAATACCTACATCATGATCTTGGCATCTACAATTTAATCATCTCCATGTCTAGGACTGTACTGTCTTCTTCTTCTCTGTTGGCTCCCGTCTATCTGTAATACATATTCAAATTATTTTAATATCTATTAGACAACTATTAAAAAATAAAAAAAATATACTTACTTTCCGATGCATATGTTACCTGTCCTGACGTAAATATCCTGGGGCTGGTATCTGAAACAAAAACAAAATAAGTTCAAAAATATTGAACCAAATATAAAACTTAAAAAATTTGCTACTTTAATTTGTTTTTCTTTCAAAATGTCTATAAAGAAAAACTGGCATTAATGGCAGCCATCATCATTGGTCAATTGCTCTTTTTGACTGTATATCATTAACTTATTTTCATTTTAAATCTATATTTCAATCAGTAATGAAGACGGTTTAATGATATAATCATTATTTCCGAAATTAATGTGCGTGTCAAATTATCAGAAGTTGGTGGCTAACCAAAACAATCTGATGTATACATTTTGAACAGAAATGATTAAAATTCAACTGAATTTCAAACAATCTAAATCAAGTCATATTTTCCAAATTACTTTAAAAAAAAATCGACTAAATATGTAGATATCCAAATTGACAATCGGAAACTTTTCTTTCGTACAGGTGAGACTATTAGAGAAAGGGTTTCCAAATTGTCAATGTTAAGAGACTATTTGCTGTTAAAAAAATAATTCAGAAATTAATGTGATGCATGTTTTAATTCAAATCCTAAATTGGAGTACAAGTATACTTTTTTCTTTGGGTTATAAATTTGAAAAGAAATTTTGGACTAATTTGTAATAAATTTTCAAGCTGTTTCTCCAGGGAAAACTGATTTTATTACCTTACAACTATTAACAGTTTAAGTACAATTGTAACAACAAAATACCTACATCATGATCTTGGCATCTACAATTTAATCATCTCCATGTCTAGGACTGTACTGTCTTCTTCTTCTCTGTTGGCTCCCGTCTATCTGTAATACATATTCAAATTATTTTAATATCTATTAGACAACTATTAATAAATAAAAAAAAAATATACTTACTTTCCGATGCATATGTTACCTGTCCTGACGTAAATATCCTGGGGCTGGTATCTGAAACAAAAACAAAATAAGTTCAAAAATATTGAACCAAATATAAAACTTAAAAAATTTGCTACTTTAATTTGTTTTTCTTTCAAAATATCTATAAAGAAAAACTGGCATTAATGGCAGCCATCATCATTGGTCAATTGCTCTTTTTGACTGTATATCATTAACTTATTTTCATTTTAAATCTATATTTCAATCAGTAATGAAGACGGTTTAATGATATAATCATTATTTCCGAAATTAATGTGCGTGTCAAATTATCAGAAGTTGGTGGCTAACCAAAACAATCTGATGTATACATTTTGAACAGAAATGATTAAAATTCAACTGAATTTCAAACAATCTAAATCAAGTCATATTTTCCAAATTACTTTAAAAAAAAATCGACTAAATATGTAGATATCCAAATTGACAATCGGAAACTTTACTTTCGTACAGGTGAGACTATTAGAGAAAGGGTTTCCAAATTGTCAATGTTAAGAGACTATTTGCTGTTATAATTAATTCAGAAATTAATGTGATGCATGTTTTAATTCAAATCCTAAATTGGAGTACAAGTATTACTTTTTTCATTAGAGTATAAATTTGAAAAGAAATTTTGGACTAATTTGTAATAAATTTTCAAGCTGTTTCTCCAGGGAAAACTGATTTTATTACCTTACAACTATTAACAGTTTTACAATTGTAACAACAAAATACCTACATCATCATCTTGGCATCTACAATTTAATCATCTCCATGTCTAGGACTGTACTGTCTTCTTCTTCTCTGTTGGCTCCCATCTATCTGTAATACATATTCAAATTATTTTAATATCTATTAGACAACTATTAATAAATAAAAAAAAAATATACTTACTTTCCGATTCATACTTTACCTGTTCCGACGTAAATATCCTGGAGCTGGTATCTGAAACAAAAACAAAATAAGTTCAAAAATATTGAACCAAATATAAAACTTAAAAAATTTGCTACTTTAATTTTTTTTCTTTCAAAATATCTATAAATAAAAACTGGCATTTATGGCAGCCATCATCATTGGTCAATTGCTCTTTTTGACTATATATCATTCACTTATTTTCATTTTAAATCTATATTTCAATCAATAATGAAGACGGTTTAATGATATAATCATTATTTCCGAAATTAATGTTCCTGTCAAATTGTCAGAAGTTGGTGGCTAACCAAAACAATCTGATGTATACATTTTGAACAGAAATGATTAAAATTCAACTGAATTTCAAACAATCTAAATCAAGTCATATTTTCCAAATTACTTTAAAAAAATCGACTAAATATGTAGATATCCAAATTGACAATCGGAAACTTTACTTTCGTTCAGGTGAGACTATTAGAGAAAGGGTTTCCAAATTGTCAATGTTAAGAGACTATTTGCTGTTATAATTAATTCAGAAATTAATGTGATGCATGTTTTAATTCAAATCCTAAATTGGAATACAAGTATACTTTTTTATTAAAATATATTTCATTAGAGTATAAAGTTGAAAAAGAAATTTTGGACTAATTTGTAATAAATTTTCAAGCTGTTTCTCCAGGGAAAACTGATTTTATTACCTTACAACTTATTAACAGTTTTTTTTTTCTTTCAAAATATCTATAAAGAAAAACTGGCATTAATGGCAGCCATCATCATTGGTCAATTGCTCTTTTTGACTATATATCATTCACTTATTTTCATTTTAAAACTATATTTCAATCAATAATGAAGACGGTTTAATGATATAATCATTATTTCCAAAATTAATGTTCCTGTCAAATTATCAGAAGTTGGTGGCTAACCAAAACAATCTGATGTATGCATTTTGAACAGAAATGATTAAAATTCAACTGAATTTCAAACAATCTAAATCGAGTCATATTTTCCAAATTACTTTAAAAAAATCGACTAAATATGTAGATATCCAAATTGACAATCAGAAACTTTACTTTCGTTCAGTTGAGACTATTAGAGAAATGGTTTCCAAATTGTCAATGTTAAGAGACTATTTGCTGTTATAATTAATTCAGAAATTAATGTGATGCATGTTTTAATTCAAATCCTAAATTGGAATACAAGTATACTTTTTTATTAAAATATATTTCATTAGAGTATAAATTTGAAAAAGAAATTTTGGACTAATTTGTAATAAATTTTCAAGCTGTTTCTCCAGGGAAAACTGATTTTATTACCTTACAACTTATTAACAGTTTAAGTACAATTGTAATGACAAAATACCTACATCATCATCTAGGCATCTAGGCATCTTCAATTTAATCGTCTCCAGGTCTAGGACTGTACTCTCTTCTTCTCTCTGGGCTGCCGTCTATCTATAATACATATTCAAATTATTTTAATATCTATAGGACAACTATTAATAAATAAAAAAAAAAATATACTTACTTTCCGATTCATACTTTACCTGTTCCGACGTAAATATCCTGGAGCTGGTATCTGAAACAAAAACAAAATAAGGTCAAAAATATTGAACCAAATATAAAACTTAAAAAATTTGCTACTTTAATTTTTTTTTCTTTCAAAATATCTATAAAGAAAAACTGGCATTAATGGCAGCCATCGTCATTGGTCAATTGCTCTTTTTGACTATATATCATTCACTTATTTTCATTTTAAATCTATATTTCAATCAATAATGAAGACGGTTTAATGATATAATCATTATTTCCGAAATTAATGTTCCTGTCAAATTATCAGAAGTTGGTGGCTAACCAAAACAATCTGATGTATACATTTTGAACAGAAATGATTAAAATTCAACTGAATTTCAAACAATCTAAATCGAGTCATATTTTCCAAATTACTTTAAAAAAATCTACTAAATATGTAGATATCCAAATTGACAATCAGAAACTTTACTTTCGTACAGGTGAGACTATTAGAGAAAGGGTTTTCAAATTGTCAATGTTAAGAGACTGTTTGCTGTTATAATTAATTCAGAAATTAATGTGATGCATGTTTTAATTCAAATCCTAAATTGGAGTACAAGTATACTTTTTTCATTAGAGTATAAATTTGAAAAGAAATTTTGGACTAATTTGTAATAAATTTTCAAGCTGTTTCTCCAGGGAAAACTGATTTTATTACCTTACAACTTATTAACAGTTTTAAGTACAATTGTAATGACAAAATACTGACAGTAATCATGAGGCACCCAAACTCTGTATGAAATACAACAGCTATGACTCCACAGGCTATCCATGACATTGTTAAAATAATGCATTAAAAAAAACCTATACAAACCTTAATTTCATAAAAAGTCATTATAATTATGTGACACTAAGGTTGACATTGTTTTTTTTTTAGAGGTGACAATCTCTCTCACCCTCTCAGCTATATAACTAGGGTTGTAAAAGGGTTGATCTTGCACACATTTTTAATCTGAAGTGCTGACAAAATGTGCTTCCATCAACGCTTTTACACCCCAATAAAATTATACAAGAGTGCACACGCTGAAATGTCTCTCCTGCTTTACTGACAATTGATTTTATGTTGAAAATCTTAAAGATAACGGTTTTACTACAAGTATCACATAAACTTCACATTTTTAAAGATCCATGAATACCAGACCAAAACACAAAAACTTAACATTTACCAATGAACCATAAAATTGAGGTCAAGGTCATATGATACCTGCAAGACAGACATGTACACCTTACAATTATTCCATACACCAAATGTAGTTGACCTATTGTTTATGGTAATTGAATACCAGACCAAAACATAAAATCTTAACATTGACCAATGAACCATAAAAATGAGGTCAAGGTCAGATGATACCTGCCAGACAGACATATACACCTAACAATCATTTCATACACCAAATATATTTGACGTATTGCTTATATTTTAAGAAAAACAGACCAAACACATAAAAACTGAACACTGAGCAATGAACCGTGAAAATGAGGTCAAGATCAAATTGAACCTACCAGACTGACATGTACATCGTAAAATATTTCCATACACCAAATAAAGTTGTCCTATTGCATATAGTATTAGAAAAAAAAACACAAAAACTTAATTTTAACCACTGAACCATGAAAATGAGGTCAAGGTCAGATGACACCTGTCAATTGGACATGCACACCTTACAAGCATTCCATACACCAAATATAGTAGACCTATTGCTTATAGTATCTGAGATGTGAACTTGACCTGTAAACTTAACCTTGTTTACTGATTCATGAAATGAGGTCGAGGTCAGATGAACTGTCTGACAGGCATGAGGACCTTGCAAGGTATGCACATACTAAATATAATTATCCTATTACTCATAATAAGAGAAATTAACATTATAAAAAAATTAAACTTTTTTTTCAAGTATTCACTGAACCATGAAAATGAAGGACAATGGTCATATGACAGACAGAAACTTCATAACATAAGGCATCTATATACAAAGTATGAAGCATCCAGGTCTTCCACCTTCTAGAGTTATGGACTTATTAACAACCATAATTGTCTAGAATGATATCTTCATGCATTTGTTTCTACAGAATCATTTATTTTGCTTCTGATTAAATTCCTTTTAGCAATGTTTAGATATCCAATTTAATTTTTTTTCATCAATTTCAAGATGCACAATAAGTCCAAACTTAACATTGAGTTTAATGGCAAAACGTCCTGATCAGACAATTATTTTTTTCCCTTCTGCTTGGTCACAATATTATTAAGGTTGAAGTCATTTTATGTGTCAAAATGAGAGGCACGGTCAGCTCTTGGCATATATATTGTGCAAGTAGTAACTACAACTAGATTAGCACTGAATATTTGTGATAGCTTACTTTGTATTCTAGTAGAAACATTTTTTTATATTTTTTTCAGGATCGCCATGGAGTTTGGTAACAATCAGTTGTGAATTATTCAAGTTATCATGATTATATCCAGTATTACAAAGTATATCACTGAATTGAGTTTTCTGTCTAAGTGTAGTTTTAAAGTCCTTTGCATTAAGCTCAGTTTATTGCTATGATATACATTACATGTATATATATATATATATATGTATGGAATTCAGATTTAAAAACAGACAACCCATATATAAAAGTGCATGTGAACTGCAAGGTAAGACGGTTGAAACATTTGTATAATCTATCAGAACTCTTTTAACAACTGTCAACAGCACATGGTACTATTGAAGCATAACATTAACTAATTTAGTTGAGGGGAATCATATTTAGTATTTGCATTAGAAACTAACATTTTAGGTCTGCCAGACAGTCAAATAAATAAAAACATGATTAAATACACAAAAAAATGCTTATTGCAATATATGTATGATGCCAAGTGTTTTTGACAAACATTTTTAACCATCTGTACTGCCTACTAAAGCGTCCCAAGTACAAATGGTCATTCATTTATATACCTCATCATTATGTAAGGGACAAAACTCACATGGCCTTACTGACTTTTAAAATTAAATTTACTAACAGCACTGCTCTGTTTTTATTTCATGATGTAAAAACTGTATGCTCCTATTTTCAACAACATTTTCTTACATGGTTTATTATCTATATCTTTCCCCACAAAACAAACATTATTTCTGCATTACCTTTTTCCATTTCAAATTCAGTCAAATACTATTTATAGTCATGATATTAAATTCTTCACTTGTGAAATTCTTATGTTTCATATTTTATTTTTTTCCTCTTAGAAACAAATAAAAATAAATTTACCATTTTATTATAATCAGAGACATATAATAATATATGTCTCTGTTATAATTAATGTTATATCATGTGAAAATTAAAAAAAAATATTATTTATTGCGACACAAATGAAACATTTCCACAGAGTCATCTCCACTTTTCTGATTGTCTTTATAATACTCCTTTTCGACAGTCACCAACATAAACTGCACATTCATTCTGTGTAAAATCTACTATTACTAGACCATTATTATGTTATTTATAAAGAAAGAATAAAACCGACCTTGTAGAAGAAACTTTCCAACCAAAAAGATGTTAAATCTTTGTGAACACTCAGTTCAATGTAACGTGTTAGTAAACTGGACCCCTGTTGTGTTCACTTATCGGTGCGAAGCTATAGATGGAACGGCGGACCAGTTTAACGTGTTAGCTGCTCACATCGAAATTAATTCCCTCTGGCTCATGATATGAGTTGTAATTAGAACAAAAGAAATAACCCGCCAAATCATAAGTAACTAGACAGAGAATGTTTTGACAATGTGGTCTAATGAACCGTGACGATCAGAGGTGTTTTGTCGCAAAATATAACAACCAGATTCGTCAAACAATTGAGAAACTTTGCAAGCATGCTTTAATATTAATTTACGTAATGCAGAGTTTTGAAATTGTTTGTTAAACTGCATGGGCATGCATTGTTTTACAGTTTTCATACATACTGTACACAATGAGCAATAAATGTATATTCACTTGTAAAAGTGTGCATGGCCTTTTATAGCTGACTGTGCGGTTAGCCTGGGGTCCTGGCTAATCTTGTCAGCCTTGCGACGCGCAGCTAGATCGGGCCGGGATGCCAGGCTAACTGTGCGGTATGAGCTTTGAAGGCCGTACGCCGGGTGACCTATAGTTGTTAATTTCTGTGTCATTTGGTCTCTTGTGGAGAGTAGTCTCATTGGCAATCATACCACATCTTCTTTTTTATATATAGCTAATTATGCACGTAAAATAATGCAGCTGGGTTGGGCAAACAATTGTGAAACTGTGCAAGCTTTATAATTTACGTAATGCACAGTTTTATAATTGTGTACATTGTTTTACCATTTTCATACAATCTGTACACCATGCATTATTCCCCATGGAAATTGTAAAATTGAACAGTACGTACATATGTTCACGCAAAGTAACAGGGGCGGATTCAAGCGGGGGGAGTGGCGGGCGTGCGCCCTCCTAAAATTTGCAAAGCGTAGGTTATCCTCAGCTTAATAAAGAATATTTCGATAATTTTACCTAAAAAAAATTGTTTGCGCCCCCCCCCCCCCCTCCCCCCAAACTAAAATCCTGGATCGGCCCCTGAGTATGTAGCCGAGTTGATCAAAACAATTTTAAAACTGTGTGTGCTAATGCACGTAAAGTCGGTCAACAATTGAGAAACTATGCATGCTTAAATATTTTATGTAGTGCACAGTTTTACAATTGTGTGTTGGACATCGATTTACAATTTTAGTACGATTTGTACACCATTCACAATTCCTCTTAAATTGTAAAAAGTAAACACATTTTAGTCTAAGATACATGAATTTTTCATTAGTTGTTATTTGCTTTGAACTATCGCTGTCAGTAACTGATAGTACTCTCAGATCTGTACTTTGTGGCTTTTTTGTTGTTAGTGTCCCCGAGTATTTTCCCCATATGGCTATATAATTTCGTTAGTGCCCACAAATATTTTGTCTGTATATATATATATATATATATATATCAACGTTCAAACCTATGATTGCGTTG